CCTTGCAAGCACAAGGTCTTGAGTTCAATTCCTGGTACCTAAATCAATCAATCAATCTATCAAATATAATGGAATTTAAAACACTGATGGCTCTCAAGCAAAGATTCTAGTTCAGGGTTTGACAAATGAAAAAAGGTCTATCTTCAAGGTTACACACAGCAGGATTCCAAGTACTGCCTGCTATATTTTTCTAACTGGAACAACACCTAAAAACTAAAGTTCACACAACGCATGGTGTTGCACGCCTGTAACCCCAGCACTCAGAAGGCTGAGGCAGGGCGTTTGCCTCAAGTTTGAGGCCAGCCTAAGGTAGTGAGTTCAAGGCCAGCCTAAACTATACAGTGACACCGTCTGAGAAAAACAAAATGAACAAAATTTTAAATCAAACATTTCTTTTTCTTTTTTGGTCTTTTTGAGACAGAGTCTCGCTATGCAGTTCAGGCTGGCCTTGAGCTTACTTTCTAGCCCAGGCTGGTCTCAAATTTGGAAATTCTAGTGTCTCAGCCTCCCAAGTGCTGGGATTACAGTCATGCTCCACCATGTCCAGCCATACAATTTAAAGGAGAATAAGCCGAGTATACAGCTCAGTGGCACAAGCGCCTGCCTAGCAAGCACAAGGTCCTGAGTTTGATTTCTGGTACCTCCCCGCAACCGCAAAAATAAAAGAATAAAAGAACAAAAACATTTTATAATGTAAGTAGGAAATTGAAAAAAAATTTGTTTTTGGGGTTTTTTTTTTGGTACCAGGAATGAAACTCAGACCTTGTGCTTGCCAGGCAGGTGCTTGTGCCACTGAGCTACATCCCCTGCCCGAAAGAAATTTTAAAGATTACAGTTTCACACACTGCTTACTTTCATGAACATAGCAACTGTTCTGAGAAATTAAGCTTCCAAGCTAAGTTTAAACAATCTACTGGGGGAGCTAAATAGTAAACATGAAATCCCTTTCTCTTTCTGAAACCACCCGTTTGACAAAACTGGCTTCTAAAGCAAGACACAGTGGCACACTCCTGTAATCCCAGCACCCAGGAGGCTGAGGCAAGAGGAACATAGAGTTTGAGGCCAGCCTGGGCTCCACAGGGAGTTCAAGGCCACCCTGAACTACATAGTGAGACCCCGTCTCAAAAAACAACACAAAAGAACACAAACCAAAACAGAACAGAACAAGAAAAACCAAACAGACTTCTTTCTAGCCAGTTTACTCCACCTTGCTGTTCCACAGTGAGTTAAACCGTTTTCCCCCGGAAAAGCCTAAGACAAATCTAGACACTGACCGCTTGAGAGGTGCAATGCCCGCATCTGCCCATCACCTCTAAAACTGGGTTGAGTCATCACAAAAATGGGGGGGAGGGGGACTACGCGAGCTTGGGGAAATGTAACTCAAACCACCTTGAGCGGGGCACAGTGGTACATGCCAGGAATCTCACTGCACTGACCACATTAGAGAGACTGAGGCAAGAGGATTCCCTCAAGTTTGAGGCCACCCTGGGCTATGTAGTGACTATAAGGCCAGCCTGAACGACACAGTCAGACCTTGTCTTGAGAAAAAAGAACAAAATCCCACCAATATCATGAACTTGAAGTTAGCAAAATAAACATACACAGGGTTTGAAAAACCTGACGGTAGCTGGGCATGGTGGTACATGCCTGTAATCCCAGCACTCAGGAGGCTGAGGCAGGAGGATCATTTCAAGTTTGAGACTAGCCTGGGCTACATAAGTGAGGTCAAGGCCAGCCTGAACTGCATAGTGAGACCCTGTCTCAAAAAGAGAGGGGGGTAAAAAAAAAAAACAAACCTGAAGATAAAGCCAAGAGATGACAACATCCTTTAATGTCATATAGAATTATTACTTAAAAGGCCTACTCTTGGAAAAACCTAGCACTATTATGCTATATAGTGGGGGCCCCCATTATATGAAGGTACCGATTTGTACTCTACAGAAGACATGTAGTTTTATTTCCCTACATGTATTAGTTGTGAAACTTAGTCCAGCAGTCCTAATATTATTTCTTTACATTCTCCTTTAATACCCATTTTATTAATTTTCTTGCTAATTGATGAGAAATAAAAACTCCGCCACATGTCCCATCTATGCCCAGTATTTACGAGTTGCACGTACTCAGACTACACTGACTTGCACTAGCTTCTTCCAGGTAACATCTAGATAAAGAGAATTTTTCTGAGGCAGGGTCCTGTGTTACCCAGCCTGGCCTCAATCTTATAGGCTCAAGGGAATGTCCTGCTTTAACTTCCTGAGTGTCTAGGTTACAGGCAACACAGCACTGTGCCCCACTTTAAATGAATTCTACAAAAGAATGTGGGCTTAGAGTATAGCTCACTGGTAGAGCACCAATTCCTTAGCAAGAATGACCACTGTATGATGTCCCGGGACTACAAAAATGAAACAAAATAAACCTTAATTATATCATTATTTCTTCAGATCTTTTTTTTTTTCCTTTTTAATGATACTGGGGTCGCTGAACCCGGGGGCTTACACATGCTAGGGAGGCAGTCTACCACTGAGCTTCACCCCCAGCCTTTCTACATTTTATTTTTGAGACACAGTCTCCGTATGTTGTTCAGGCTGGCCTCAAACTTGCAATCCTCCTGCCTAAAAACATAATTCATCGAATACTAATAAATTAGGATTTCAGGTAGGAAGTTAACTAGCTGCTTCCTCTGAAGCTTGTCTGCCGACACAAATACATTTAGAGACAGAAAGCCAAAGAAATACAAAAGCCTCCGGTTAACACCCTGATAGACGTCATCAGCCATGAAGATACCCTCATTTCTTTAGACAGTTTGAAAAATTAAAGTATTAGGTTGCCTCAAGCCTCATACAGAATAATTTTAAATTCTAAACTTTTGATAGCATGAAGGGAGGAGTATTTTTAGGACCAAGAGAAGCACAGGAGAATTTGAAAAGGACTCCCTTACCCTGCATACTGACATCTGGTTTGTAGTAAGAGTACCAGTCTTATCCGAACAGATTACGGAAGTGCAACCGAGGGTTTCCACAGAGGGAAGACTTCGAACAATGGCATTTTTCTTTGCCATTCTGCGAGTTCCAAGGGCCAGACAGGTGGTGATAACAGCAGGCAGGCCCTCAGGGATGGCTGCAACTGCGAGAGCCACTGCAATCTTAAAGTAGTAGATAGCACCTCGGATCCAGGAGCCCCCGTGCACTGGATCATTAAAGTGCCCAATGTTTATGATCCAGACTGCAATGCAAATGACAGAGATGACTTTGGAAAGCTGTTCCCCAAATTCATCCAGTTTCTGCTGAAGAGGCGTTCTCTCCTGTTCTGTGGCCACCATTTCATCTCGGATCTTGCCGATTTCAGTGTTAACTCCAGTTGCTACCACCACTCCCATGGCTTTCCCAGCAGCAATGTTTGTACCCTACGGAGAAGTACAAGAGAACTGGTCACAAGATCAATACATCCACTTAAACAGTACTGACCTGTACAATTCAGACATTGGGTTTTGACCAAGGAACCCAGATTCTTCATCCTACTGTCCTAGGGATGACCCAAGGATGCAGTGACAGTGAACAATCCCTCATGCAGGCAGTGCGATACCTCCTACCTCCCCACACCTGGCTTGGATTCCACAGAACACCTCCCTACTCAGCTCCACACTGATCTGTCTGGGTCTTAGTTCATGATGTGGAACTGCACTTGTAGGCTACCTTTGGACTGTGCAGCACTCCAACCCTTCTGCATTCCCAGGTTTTCAAACTCCACACTACCCTCAGTCTTATGCATTTTCCATCTCTGGCTCCAACAGTACCCTACTTCTGTCAGCTACAGGAAGGGCAATCAGCCCCAAATGGGCTATCTTAAGGGTCAAACACCAGCACGGACTCCGTGCCATCAGTGCGAGTGTTCTCTTTCCACCCCACTTTAATTCCTAGTGTCAAAGTGACACGGCTTTGTTATTTCCACTATAACTCTATGGTGCTGTACTTCCTATGGGCACTTAAGGTCTCCCACTAACCCACAAAAGCCCACTACCTGAAATACCAACCTAGATTGCAAGCAACCAAAATCCATGTATTTTTGCACTGTTTTAAAAAAACTTTCAAATCACCCAAAAAAGTGAAACAGTACAATGAACATCCACATACTCTTCACTCAACTCGCTGGTGTAACATGCTTGCCTCCTCACTTCTCTCCAACACAGCCCTCTTCATCAGAACCACAAACAGCAGCGACATGCACATCATTCTGAAAACACCCTTCGCAAGCTAAAGGCTTTCCCGAACAGATCTGCTTTCCAACCATTCAGATACAGTATGTTCAACCTCATCAGTTTAAATATGTTCAACATCATCAGTTTTTGTCCTTAAAAACTTGCCAGTCAAAACCAAAGACATCTAAGTCATACATCGTACCAGTGAATTTCATTCGTGTCTTTGTTTCAAAGGGGGTGGCGGGACTCTGGGGACTGAACTCAGGACCTGTGCATGCTAAGTGTGTGCTCTACTACTGAGCTACACCCCTGGCTTTGTTAACTAGTATTTTCTAATAGCTAAAACTGAACAAGAGGAGTATTAGTATCCTTTGGAACAAGAGCCAACATTTTTTAAAGTCTGATCACTAAAAGCAGCAAGTAAAAAACAACTATGGACTTTTGAAACTCTGAGACTGTCTTTTTTTTTTTTTTTTAAGTTTTTCTCCGGTACTGGGAACGAAACTCACGACCTTGCACTTGCCAGGCAGGTGCTTTGCCGCTGAGCTAAATCCCCAGCCCGAGACTGTCTTTAAATAAAATACATTTGAAGTCAGGCAAGTGGCACAAACCTCTGATCTCAGCTGTCTGGAAGGCCAAGGCAGGAGGGCTACAAGTTTGAGGCCAACCTAGACAATGTAGGGGACCCTGTCTGAAAATGAATAACTCCCAGTACTCCCTGGATTAAAATCTCAACGTAACCCCCCCGACACACACAAAAAAAGCTTTTGAGGGGCTGGGAGTGTACCTCAGTGGTAGATTATGTATTTAACCTGTGAGGCCCTGGGTTCAATCCTAAGCACCATTAATACCCACCTAAGATTCGATAAAAGCACTTACAGAAAAAAGCATGTTCTTCTTGTCTTGGTTGACAGCCCGTGGGTCAGGGACAGGGTCCGTGTGCTTGATGACTGAAACGGATTCACCTAAACAAGTTGTGGACAGTTAAACCTGGGAACCCTTATCCATACCCATCCATCACCATTGTTAACACACTGTCAGTATGAAAAAGGAACATTCTGAAGAAGAAAACTAGGAAAATTTAGTGATAAAAATTCCACAAAAAATTCCACAGCAAAGACTATCAGGATTAAAAGAAGTACAATTTCAAAATAAAGGAGTTTCGCCTGGTGTGGTGGTGCATGCCCGTGGATTATAGTACTTGGGAAGCTGAGGCAGGAAGACTGCTGTGAGTTTGAGGCCAACCTCAACTATACAGGGAAAAACCCTGTCCCAAAATGACAAAGACAAAAACAAAACAAAACAAAAACGCAACAACCAAACAACAACAACAACAACAAAAAAACTTGGAAATAAAATCCCAATTACTTTCCTTTTCTGGAATAATCACTCAGTTTTATTCTCTGAATACTTAACAAAAAAATGATTCCTCAATGAGCCTATAAATTACAGTACGATTATTTAACAGAAGACACCCTGTTTCTACAGAAACCACCTGAGAATTTCATGCATACAACACAATCACTGCCCTAACATTTATACCCGAACTGCTTGCAGCCTGTTGCTGCTAGAAGTTTTACCAGATAAGCTATTCATCAAAACAAAAAGTCAAGGGAGAAAAAGAAACCCTCAAAATCAAAAAGGGCCAAGGTTATACACTATGGTATTAGCTGCTTTCAAACACTGATCAGATAAATTTCACAGCCTTTAGATTTCCTATTTAATTTGGCTTAACACTGTCCCTAAGTTACTCTGAAAACCTTACTTCTAGTTCACTTGAACCCTCCACCCTACACTGTATCTATATCACAAACATGGCAGAATGTTCCACACAATTATAAATTCAGGAGTGCCAACTCCAGGTAGTGCAACAGTGCCTTTTGGGGCTTACTACTGTTCAATGTATAGCTGCTTGCTGCACGTTATGTGAGATGTACGATTACAACTCTAATGAGGAAAGTTATAGCACCCGCGCCTACTCCTCCTGCCTGGAGGAAGGGCACTGAGTAAGTAATTTGCTTTCCACAGGGTGAGAAAGCAACACTTCAACCTTGAGATTACTACCTTCTGCCAACAAAGGAACAGCCTTTCAAAGAAGTGAACTAGTGATTTTATATTAAAGCCAAACTATTTTTTAACTAAAAAGATAAACAGGGACCAGGAGGTAACAGCCTTTTAAACCCATATTAGATGGCTGGGCGTGGTGGCACACACCTGTAATTCCAGCACTCGGGAGGCTGAAGCAGGAGGATCCTTGCGAGTTCGAGGCCAGCCTGGGCTACAAAGTGAGCTCAAGGCCAGCCTGAACTGCTGTGAGACCTTGTGTCAAAAATACCAAAAAAACAAAAACAAAAACAAAAACAAACCCAAAAAACCCCACCCATACTAGCACAAAGCCTAACTGATAAAGCACTAAGAAAACAAGTATCTTCAGATGGGTGGGACAATGAAGGGGATGGTGGGGAAGAGCTGACTATACTGGCGTGGACATGGCAAAGCGAGATTTCATTAATACTTACCAGTGAGAATAGACTGGTCAACTCTTAGAGTTGTAGACTTGATGGAAGTTAATCTTATATCAGCAGGAACTTTGTCACCAACTAATTGGGGGGGGAAAGAAGAGAAAGGCAGCTAAAGTCAACTTCTGTTACATAAAGATGAGTTTGTTTCCAAATCAAACACAACTCTTAAAGAAAATAAACAACCAATATACAGCACAGTGTCAGGGTTGGTGGCGCATAATTGTAACCCTCCCACTCTGGGAGGGTAAGTCAGTAGCACTGCAAGTTCGAACCCAGTCTGGGTTAAGAATGTAGCTCAGAGCAAAGGTCCTGTGTTCAACCCCCCACTGTCAAGCAAGCAACCATGTAAAACAACCATGACTGCTAGACAGACAGGCAGACAGAGAGGAAAAATCTGCCAAACAGCTAAGACGGTTAACCTATCTCAGGCGCAAAGATGGTGATACTTGTGAAAACTTTTTTTTTTCCTTTGAGACCAGGTTATACTATGCAGTTCAGGCTGCCTTACACTCACTATGTAGCCCAAACTGGCCTCAAACTCAAAGTGATCCTCCTGCCTCAGCTTTCTGAATACTGGGACTATAGGTGTGTGCCACCATGCCCAACTGGGAAAGCCTTTAAATACACTGTATTCTACAAATGCTTTTGCTGGGCATGGTAGCACATATGGGAGGCTGAGGCAGGAGGATCTCTGAGTTTGAGGCCAGCCTGAATTATATGATGAGACCCTGTCTAAAAGAAAGAAAATAAATAAGTAAAATTAAAATTAAAATGTTCAGCTATATATGCTCAAATGTGGAAGCATCCATTTTGAATACTTTGCCAGAATTACAGTATGGCCTGTGCCACAGGCTTGGCTTCTTTTTTAAATAGTGACTTATGTATGCATTTATTTGTTTATTTTTGAGAGTGTCTTGCTATGTAGTTCAGGCTGGCCTTGAGCTATGTAGCTCAGGTTGCCCTCAAGCTCATGGCAATCCTCCTGCCTCAGCCTCATCCAGCAAGGGCACTCTTTGAAAAGATGTTAATTCACACAAAACAAATGTAACATTAAATTATACAAACAAAAAGTGTGAAGGTAGACCGAATCAGCAAGGATGTATGCAAAGATTCTTATACAGATGACTATAAAATATGGAAATTCCCCAATTTTAGTAAGTTAGGCAACTCACTAGGTATGTGTGCCCGGTCATTAAAAATCCTGTCTGTGCAGCTGATCAGGGAAACTCTGGAGGTACAGTGTAAACATTCTATGTCGGGTAGGAGCAACAGATTTAGTATTCGTGACTCAGCAAGCCTCTCAGGGTTTGTAGCCACCTGTTTATGTTGCTAAGTACAAAGCAACAACTACTGCAAACTTTGGTGGGCAAACTGGCAATCTATTATCAAAACTGCAAAGCACCATGATTTTGCCGCATTATCCTGCAGACATTGCTCAAGGTTATATAGTTAACTTATAGCAGTTTTTGTTAACATTAGAAAGATGAGATAACTCTCCTCACACTTAAGTGAAAACTTCCTCTAAGATACATTGTACACTGAGTAAGGAAAAACAAGATGTCAATGGTACTTCTGGGGCTGCCAGCAGCATAAAGAAATACCTCTGGGAAGGTGAAACCAACTGGTAACACTGGGTTGCTGGGGATGGGGAGAGAGAGACGGTTCACCTTATACCCTCTGTACTTTTTGAAATATGAATTTGCAAATAAATGAATAAATCTCTTACACTATGTCAGCCAAGGCAGCCTTCTTTTCTGGGCTATAAAGATCCTTCAATAGCTCTCACCAGGTCCACAACTTAGCCTAGAAACTTCCTTAGTGTATATAAAGTAAAAGGCCATAAAACACACCCAATACCAGGTAAAGGCGATGTCTCACATACAACCTGAGAACATCCTCTCTAGAGATTCAAATATTGCTCAGTAAGTGCACATCTGCATGAAAACAATTTTATATTACTAAGTATGGGGTGGGGAAAAAAAAAAAGTACAGGGTGGGGTTGCAACATGATGGTAAAGTACTTACCTAGTATGAGTGTAAGCTCTGAGGTCAATCCCTAGCACTGCCCCAAAAAACCTCCATCCCCTCCACACCCCAGTATAGAACAGCTTTCTAGAACTTTCTAAACAGTAACTAAAGAGGTTTTTTAAGTATCTAATGCATGAACAGCTCAAAAAAAGGTTTCAAGTCAAATCTTCATTTTCCAGATGTACCCTACTGTTATGGTTTATGTCTGTGGGTCCCCCCAATGCCTCATGAGGACCTGGGGCAGGCTATTAAGAGTTGAATGATTATGGGTGTGAGAGATACACCCGCCCTGGATTGGATAGTTTGCATATGTAAGGGAGAGGAAGAAGCTGCTTGGGGGCATTCCTCCCCCATTCCACGCTGGTGGGTGCTTGCAGCTTAGCTGTGTGCTGCCGCCCTGAGATGCAGCCCTCTGCAATGTGCCACTCTGCCTTATAATCTGCCAAGTACGGATTGAAACTTCCACGAACTGTAAGCGAAATAAACCTTTCCTTCCTTAATTTTGGGCGTCAGGTATTTTGTCCCAGCAGCGAGAAAAAAGTAACCAAGACACCTACAAACTGAATTATATTACCCATCACAGGTTATACATAAAATGGCAAAATAGCATCCAATCCAAGAAATGAACACTGGACTTGTTAAACTTTCCATTTAGTTCCAACTGTTCTGTACTTAAGAGCTTTCAAATTCAAGAATACAGCTTGCTTTTTAAAGCTCGGCATGAAACAACCCTACAGCCTTTGTAGGCAATGTGCAGAAAGAGTCTATCAATGAGTGATCTCAGGAGGCAAAGACTGTCCTCATATTTGACTGCAGGGACACCTAGGTAGGATGAAATTCCTGCTGGAAATGCTTATGCAATGAACAGCAATATTCCAACGAAATAAACTAGAGCCTTTCATTTTCACAAAATTCTGCTCATGCTTAGCAACACATCGAACAGATGATTAAGACAAAGTAATCATATTCTGAACCTCAGTGACCTTCAACAAGCTAAAATGCCCTATTGACACAGTAATTTAAAACCAAAGTGTGTTTTCCTGTTTTACTTCTGCCTATCAAAACCAGCTTCTAAACGCCCTTGAACATTGTGAAATGAGTCCAAGCTCAATGGTACGTATTATGACCCTAAATGAAAAATTTTCAAATGTCTTCTGATGTCTGGGGCGATTTATATCAAAATCCTGCAAGAGGCAGAAAGACTTCTGCCCAATGTAGCACAGAGGTCCTCAATCTATTAGACTTCTGTAGTAACTGTGTAAGTTTCATATACAGCGCTGATAGAGCATTTGCTTAAGCACACAGGCAGCCTTTGGCTTGATCTCTACCATTGCAAATAAAAACAGCCAGGTGTGGTGGTGGACACCTGTAATCCCAGCACTTGGGGAGGCTGAGGCAGGAGGATTGCTGTGATTTTGAGGCCAGCCTGGGCTACAAAATGAGTTGAGGGCCAGCCTAAACTGCATAGGGAAACCCTGTCTCAAAAAGACAAACAAATAAACAAATTTAAAAAAAAACAAAAAACAAAAAACAGAAGTGAACACACACAAAAAAAGCCAGGTATAGTGTAACATGCCAGTAATCTCAGCTACAGAACTTGACTGAGGCAGGAAGATCACAACTTTGAGGTCAGCCTGGGCAAAACTAGTAAGATCTTGTTTCAAAAAATAAAAACAGCTGGGCATTGTGGCACATGTCTGTAATCCCAGCACTCGGGAGGCTGAAGCAGGAGGATCACTGCAAGTTAGAGGCCAGCCTGAGCTACTAACTGAATTCAAGGCCAGCCTGAACTACAAAGTGAAATGCTATCTCAAAAATGTAAAAGGAAGGAAGGAAGGAGGGAAGGAGGGAGGGAGGGAGGGAGGGAGGGAGGGAAGGAAGGAAGGAAGAAAAGAAAGAAAGAGAAAGAAAGAAAGAAAGAAAGAAAGAAAGAAAGAAAAGAAAAGAAAAGAAAAGAAAAGAAAAGAAAAGAAAAGAAAAGAAAAGAAAAGAAAAGAAAAGAAAAGAAAAGAAAAGAAGCGTGCTTCTAGTTCACTACTCTCTGGGTTCAATGGGGGAGGATGTATTTTCAGGCAGTAACTACCAAAGTTAAATTTCTTGGGTGACACGGCTAACATTATCAGAGTAAGGTAGTACAAATACTATATAGATATGCTATATTGATATATATCTATATACATATATACTACATATATCTATTACACGTGCCATGTATCTATATATATGTTACATGAAATATTTATGGTAGCATTATAAAAAAAAAAAAAAAATCAACTACTTTTCCTAAAGGTCTAAATGTATGAAGAGTGTCTGCTCTATAGGAAGTATACTGATACACACAAGTTGATCAAATACTGAGGATGAATGTCCCAAATGTCAAATGGCAAAACAAATGACTTGGGAAGTTCTTAAATTCTTGTCAACTTTTCTTCCATCTCACAGCTGCCATTCTAATTGTTCCACAAATAAATTTTTAGGAATTGAAAGCTATGAAAAAGTTAATACAGGAGGGCTTTCATGAACCCCTTTTCAAAAGTACATACAGTTCAATGCACTTGAAGTGAAGTCTAGGAATCCACTTAAAAGAATTTCCAAAAATCACTAAAAAATTAAGTAAAACTGGCCAGGCATGGTATGTGCATGCCTGTAATTCCAGCACTCAGAAGGCTGAGGCAGGAGGATAAGGCAGGAGGATCACCCTGAGGCCACCCTAGATTACACAGTGAGTTCAAGGCCATCCTGAACTACATAGTGAGACCCTGTCTCAAAACAAAACTGTTTAGGCCAGGGAGGATAGCTCAGCAGCACAAGTGCCTGCCTGGCAAGCGCAAGGTCCTGAGTTCAATTCCTGGTACCAAAAAAAAAACCCCAAAAAAAAAAAAAAAAAAAAAAAATTTTTTAAAAAAAAAAAAAAAAAAAAAGAGCAAAAACTAAAAACCACCTTGTTTGCAACAGCCTCTACAATATACCTAACATCAGCTCTAGGCTAAGAGGTCTTTAACTCCAGCACTTGTAAAACGCCTACCTTAAAATAGTTATGATTCCCTTTG